CTTTTTCTTATACCTTTTTCATTTCTTAATGTCCTGTTTAACCAACTTTACTAATCTTGTATAATCCTCTATTATAGCTATCAGTTTAAACTCCTTCAACTTTAATGCTTTTATTTAATTCTACCACTTACACTCTTTGTGAATCAATCTGATCTTTTATTTGCAGCAACCTTTAAACTTTTTGATAAGGAACATACTTATCTTGAATATTTATGAAAATATTCCACATTTGACTAATATATCCAATTAATTCAGTTACCCAATTCACATTAGATAATTTTTGTTGGATTTCTTCAAAATTTGCTATTTTGAAATTTGTAACCAAAATGTCATCATACCATATAAATGCAATGATGTAAATCTAATTTTCTAATTACCTTTTGAAATAAACTTTTAAAGGCTTAAAAAAACAACTTATATACAACACAGTTCTCTAAACTCCAAAGGTAAAAACAACAGAATGGCTTCACTCAATGACATCAATACCCACAAAAAATACTAAAGTAAATTCAATTACCAGCTTTCAATAGGCTTTTTTTATTTAAGTTTTCAAAATGACAACAATGTCAATGGATTCTTAGAACAAGCCTGCAAGATCGATATATCATCTATTCAAACTAGTCTAATGCCAAAATGGTCTGTATAATAACTGTATAATATAGTGCATTGCTATACAAAATTACCACTACCAATCATAATCTTGCTCCACATTCCAACAGCGCAAACAACTAATGAGCTTCTCATTTGCCATAACCTATAAGGTTTGTTGAAGTCTGGAAAAGGCCACTGAAGATCCAAAGGCATCTTATCTTTTCAAAGCAAAGCAGAAAACAAAAAAGTACAAAATTCATAAATCCACAAACACAGTCTTCTTGTTTTCCTGCAAATCCTGTCCTCTAGTGTAGAGACACAAAAGTAAGTTAAAGTTTAACCTTTTTAAAGTATGTTTGAAAAAAAAAAAGCAGGCGTATTATAATTTATGTGTACAATACTGGGTACAAGTTATTTCTTTAATATGTAGCCGTGAATTACAAAAATTTGTGAACATTACAAAACTGAACTATGCAAAAAAACCTAACGTTAGTATTGTTACGACAGCGGAAGTCATGTGACCCTGGAAGCATGAGCGCTGGAGTTTCTAGAAGGATCATGACTGTTCCCGGCACCTCTAGTCTTTTCTAGACGCCCTCTATTTTAGTATTGTTGCGTCAGCGAGGTCACGTGACTAGTATCACGCCACGTATTTCTAGAAATATCCTGTTCCTTCAAGAATGCCCTAGCATTTACTAGATATGTGTTAGTATTGTATATATAAGACGTTCATAATGTGACGGAACAACAGTGTAATGAGTAATTGAATGTATGCTGACAAAATATCGTTGACCACGTGAGACGTGAATTATAGTGTTTGTTATAGAGCGACTGTTGAAATTAAGTGTATCGTAAAGTTGTATTCGGAAAAAATTAACCAGTTTTATTAAGAAAGGACATGTGTCGTTAAAGTTTCGTCGGAACGAAGTTACGGAAAATTAACTAGCGAACAAAGACGTAACAAATTGGTGTCAGAGAGTGGGATAAAAAAAATGGAAAAGAGAAGCGGCAAATCAAACTACAACCTAGCAGACTTAATGGCAGCAATACAAGAACAGCAAAAGAAACAAGAAGAATGAGAAGAGAAATTACAACAGTTGTTAGAGGAAAAAGAAAAGAAACAAGAAGAACGAGAAGAGAAATTACAACAGTTATTAGAGGAAAAAGAAAAGAAACAAGAAGAACGAGAAAAGAAACAAGAAGAAAGATTACAGCAGTGGCAAGAAAACCTACAACAGTGGCAGCTCGAACAGCAAAATAAAGAAGAGAGACTACAGCAGTTGTTGGAGGAGAAAGAAAATAAACAGGAAGAGAGACTACAGCAGTGGCAACTAGAACAAGAAAGGAAACAGGAAGAAAGTCTCC